ATAAGGTGACCAGGCACACCTGCCGCAGGTGTGTGCGTGATGCCGCCCGTGGGGTCCTCGCAAAGCCCGGCAGCGCCACCCGCGTCCCGGGATGAGGTGGCTGCAGACAGTCACGGGCCCCGGGGTTCCCTAGCTAATCAGGTGGGCCCATGTCTCTAGCTGCTTCTCCGAAAGAGAGTTCACCTGACACTCCGGGCTTGCTGGGGATCCAGAGTATCCTTGGTAATTTGCGGGGAACGGTTCTGGCAGTCTCCTGCTTGTGGTCTTTACACGTGTGTTTTCTTTAGAGTGACTAAGGCTCTGAACAGTATTTGCATGGTGGATATGGCAGGCACATTTGATCCCCCTGAAACACTGTGCCTTCGGGACCTGTAGACCTGAGCTGATTGGAAAGCCACTTGTGAAGCTTAGCTGACACTTGTGGCATGCTTCCTCAACGTGTTTGTGTTTTTGGAATCCAGATGGTTAGAACTGCCCAGATAATAAGCTGCCAGATCAGCTGTGCAGATGGTGCTGGTGGAAGGAATTCCAGCGATTGGAGTAAGAAATAAAATACCCTTGGGTTCTTCCTTCTCAGCCTTTTGTGAAGTCTGTTTTAGGGGACTCCTTACCCTGTGCAATTGGCCATACCCTAGAAATATTCAAGCAAGGCCGAGGCTCCTTTGGAGCGCTGTGTTTTGGCATCGCTGGTACCTTAAAACGTTGTTTTTCCATTCTACCACTGGAATGTTAACACGGTAGGACTGGAATTATAACAAGGTCAAAGTAGGTGACTGCCCTTCACGCAGATGGAGCCCTTATGTGTGCATTGCCTATATCTTCTGCCTTTGGTTTTGTTTTTAGGTGTGTAGGCGATTGGGGATCATAGAAGTTGATTATTTTGGGCTGCAGTTCACCGGCAGCAAAGGTGAAAGCTTATGGCTGAATTTGAGAAACCGGATCTCCCAGCAGATGGACGGGCTGGCACCTTACCGGCTCAAACTGAGAGTCAAGTTCTTTGTGGAGCCCCATCTCATCTTACAGGAGCAGACAAGGTAAAGTGAGGCGGAAATAAACCAGTGTCAAGTACACCTCTGATTCCACCTAGGAGGGGCTTCCAGAGATGTTCCCGGGCTAATTTGACTTCCTGAAGAGGAAGTTCAGGAAATACTTAAATTTGCCGTTGAAAGCACAGTTGGCCTGGGTGGGTTTTCCAACTCTTGTTTTGGTTATACACGCCTCTATATTATTAATGGGAGAGCAGAGTTGACTTCTTACAAACAAAAAGAAAACCCCCAACACTGACTTCCTGACAGCTATGTCTAATGCCCGCTAGTAACCCCGCCTCAGCAGTGTTACTACAGGTCATTGTCGACGGTTCTAACTGAAAGCAGGAAACAGTTCCTCTTGGGTTACTTAAACTTGGTCAGTCTTCAGCCTAGTGTCAGATTACAGTGTGTAGCTGAGTGCTCTGTCTGGCCTCCTGCAGATTTTAAAACTTTTTTAAGTTTCATGAAAACTTAATAAAAGAACTCTTTGAAGGCCACTGTAACTGAACTCCAGCCTACAGCTATATTAAACATGATTGTTGGGCATTAGATTTTTTTTCCCTCCTTGTTAAAATAAGTTCCACCAGCCATGGTAGAAACTGAAGTGTGTGGTCTCCTTCTTTAAACGACCAAACAACAACAACAAAATGTGTTTCCCTCACAACTGGCTGTTATCCTTTTCTCAAAGATGATCTAAAATAGAAAAGTGATGTTTAATATTTGTTATTGAAATGCAAGAGACTTACAGTGGCATACTGAAAAAGGGAAATGATTGCTTTTAAAACCACAGCAAGCTGTGGGTCCCAGCACTGATGTTTCCCATCCTCCTGTGGCTTGGAAAAGCGCCATGCATGTGAAAAATGCGATCTTGTAGATTTCAACTCATAATCGGGGAACAGGATCCTCGGAGAGGTTTCAGCATACTGTGTTTTGTTTATTTGCCAGACAAACGGTGGAAACGTTTTAAAATACCACTCGTTTGGATTTGAAATATCCCCTTTGTCTTGCTGTGGAACTTTAAAAGTGGGGGGAGATCTTGTTTATGAAGGAAACTGGCATAAGGAATTTTTAGTGTTTCTGAAAATACCTTACGAATATTCATGCAATAGCATGCTTATAGATGCTGAGCTGTCTCTGTTAGTCACAAGAGGCTCTATCTTTCTTTAAACTTTTACTCTGTATGTGTGTATGCACTGTGTACGTGTACATGCCTGTGCTTGCACACACATCTGTATTCCTGTGGAGGTGACAGAACAACTTTAAGGAGTTGGTTCCCTCCTCCCACTATGTGGGTCCCAGAGATTGCACTCTGGCTGTCAGGCTGGGAGCAAACATTTTACCCTCTGAGCCATCTCACTAGCCCCATCTCTTCTTCTCTCCCTCCCTCTCTCTTCCCTCCCTCTATCCCTTTCTTTTTTTGGCAAACAGTTGTATTGTGATGCTGCTGCTGAGATTTCAGGGCTTCCAAGTGCAACCCAATTCTAGTGATACAAACTTATTTTTGAAATCAGCCAAAACTTGGGAAAGAAAAATACTTCATTTAAGTCATGGAAGGGTATTTGCATAATATGTTTGAGCTGAGAATGTGTCCTTGCTTTATGATGGACTATGAGATAGTCTCTACTACACTCTCCTGTAATTGGGTCAGTACCTATTATCAAATCTACTTGATTCATGTAAGAAAGAAACATTTATGAAGGAATACTTGAATCAAATTGCCTACTGTTTTTTTTGTTGTTGTTTTGTTTTTGTTTTCTTTTGTCGTTGTCCTCCCCCACCCCCCCCCACCCCCGTTATTGACTCACTTGTCTTTGATTCTTGGGATTTATAGCTAATGGCACTCAAAGTATGTACCTTCCCAGTTCAAGTAGGTAATTTCAATTGATTTCATCCTTTTTAGAAATCCCATAGAATGGTGAGTGTAAGTTGGGCCTGTAAGCAGGATTGTAATCCCAGGTGCCTTCGAGATAGAAAAGCAAAGATGACAAGGTCTCTTGTGCCTGGTCTCCAGTGTGGGTTCAAGTCTAGTCTGGGGAACTTAGTGAAACCCTGTGCCAACACAAAAGGTAAAATGACACCTGAGAACACAGCTCAGTGGCCAAGGGCTTGCCTAACCTACCCAAAACCTCAGTTCAGGATAAAGAAAGCAGGATAGGGAGGGTAGGTAGTGTCATGTAAACCTTTGAGTACCTTCGTTATGTTGGTGAATTTTGCATAATTTGTGGAGTTATCAAAAATATAAAACTTTTAAGAAAATGCCTAAGGTTAACAACCAGTCTGATTTAATATCTTCATAAAGTAATATCTAATTTGCATTTGTACCCTTTAATTAGGACGTCAAAAATTGTGCTAGGTCCAACTGAATATCTTTTAAATTATTTAAGTGTGGATATTTTATTAGTATGTGTGCCTGTGCACCACATGGTGCTTGAGGAAGTAGAAGAGGGCATTCGACTCACTGAGATAGGAATATACAGGGTGTTTGTGATCCACCATGAAAGTGTTGGGACCCGAACTTGTGTCCTCTGAAAGAGCACCAAGTCCTGCTAAGACATTGTAATCATGGTACTAAAGAACTATTTTTCTTTAGTGTGGTATTAGAAAAAAAAAACCCATTGACAAACTTTTTGATGTCCTGATGTTTGTTATAAAATATTTATGTTAAATGCTATGATTCTACTGTAGATCTGTTTGTGCAGTGAGTGAACACAGCTTTGACAATTCAGTCTTAGAGATGGCTTTGCTGAGGCAAGCCATGAGGGTGTCTGGACATTTCATTAAAAGGAAATAACTGGGCCAAGTTGCCCTCTGCAGACCACTAAGCAGTGTGCTTGTCGTAGAGCAGGTTTAATGTGGAGGGCTATTAATATATTACTTAGCATCAGACCAGGCTGGCTGCTGAGGGGGGGGGGCTGCAGGCAGGAAGGCCTCCTCACCATTGGGGGACCCTGGGATCCAGGAAGAAGCCTTTCTTCAAAGAGGAGCTCAGGCTTGGGTCAAATACTATCTTAGGTAGGTAGATCGGGCTCATCTGGTTTTAGGCTTAGTGTTAGATTTTGTGACCCTACCCGGATTATTCCATTTGCTCTTGAATAGAGGGGTCTTGTTCAGCTGGCTGGCATGGTTTGCAGACGGAGGCAACAGGTATTTTCAGCAGATGATTGCCATGCTGTGGGTTGAAGTGAGATGGGAAACAAATTAATGTGCTGTGGAAGTAAATCTGAAATAATAATCATCTTAGAAACTTCTGCCTTTCCGAGGCTCTCAGTTCTTCACAATGAGTTTTGCCATTTCAAAACTGGCAGTTAGGGAAGTGCAAGGTTTATTTCCACAGTGGTGATATACCATCCGCTGCTGGCAGGGTCTATGTTTCTCTAGCAATGCCTGGGAGACTGCTTCCCCAAGATACCACCTACCTTTCTTGTAGAGCATTAATGTGCTTCTAACATTACAGTATCTTATGCTCATTGTCAGTTACTCCAACAATGCAAATCCCATCAAAATTGATCAGCAATGTACCCTCAGAATCTACTGAGCGTACACTGTGTTAATACCTTGTTAATCAATAAATTAAGAATTTACGAGTGGGGAGCTGGAGATGGCCCCATGGTTTGGAACACTGGTGGCTTTTGCAGAGGATCCAGTTTGATTTCCAACACCCACATGGTGGCTCACAACCTTTTACAGCTTAATTTCCAGGGATTCAACTCCCTCTTCTGGTTCTAAGGGTACCAGACATGCATACATAAATAAAGACAAAACACTCATGCACCTAAAATAAATAAATCAGTGAAATCTCAAACAAAAACTAAAAAGCTCACAGAACCAAAGCCACAGACAAACTCATAGCAAATGAGATGTGGTCATTTCAAATCAATTCAGTACCAGCCAGACTGGCCCTAGCCAGAGTTTATAAGTCATGTTCACAGTCTTTCTTAATGTTGTCAGTGTTGGTAAAGGTTACTTACATAATTTGTCTTTGCATGATTAAAGGTGAATGCATTCTCCATGTGTGTGTCTGCTCATGAAGACTCATGTGTCTATGGTATAGGCTCCTTTATGTTCTTTGTGCTATACCCGGGATGGCAGAATCAGCCTTCCTCTCTCTCCTGCCTTTCCCCTGTCTCTCTCTTTCTTTCCTCCACTTTCTTCTCTGTTTTTACTTGCCAAACTATAAAATAGGACCCAGGAAAGTTATACAAAAAAGTAAAAGCATACATATATGTTATTTCCAAGGAAATTATAAATTGAATTTCTGATCCTACTTAAAGTTGTTCTTTTTGCCAAAACTAAGGGGTATTTGCATTGCTGTAGTGGTGTTTAATTTTAGACAAGGAACTCTCATTTGGGCAACTTCAGCCGTGTATTTATATGAAATAGTCAGAGAGCAGTTTTTAAAAATGGTATTACATGTATTCATTTTGGTGGGGGGAGTGTTTTATGATGTGATGTGTGTACGTGTGTGAGTGTGCAGGAGCACATGTCCACGCATGGGTATGCAGAGGCCAGAGACTGACAGCTTGCCCACACAGGCACCTATTGCCATGGGTGGGGCCATTCTTAAGTGCAGACTTGGTGCTTTTAAGTTACAGTATTCTCCTGGCCCAGGCTGTGAGCTCTCAGGGCTGGAAGCCTCCCTGTGGCAGTCCTCATATCTTAACTGCTTTAGGGTTCAAGGAAAAACATCTTTCAGAGTGGTTCTGTTTGGGGCTTGAAAAAGATCCCCTTAAGCCCTGGTAGGGACCTGACATAGTAACTCTGTGATAACATCTGCCCCTGACAGGTTTTTTGACTTTAAGCCTTCCATGAAGTAGGCCTGATGGCTTGATATAACTGGAACTGTTAATTCACTGGTATTCTGAACCCAAGCCCTGAGGTTATTTTCCTCAACTTCCCAAAAAGTTCAATCATGGAGGGAAGTTGAGGGTTTTTATCTTGAGCATCCCATGTGATGTTCTAGTAGCCCCTAGATCCTACTATTAAATTTAATGTGTCTATTTTATTATATAGTTAGTTAATCATTTATCAGCCCCTCCAATCATCCCTTGCTGCTTGTATTTGGTTCTTTTTCCTTTCTAGTTGAAATTTACATAGGATAAAAAGATCCTAATTGTGTCTCCTAAAGAGATTTGATTGGTACATGTTTAAACAACACCTCTACCAAGATTAAGAGTAGCATCATCCATCATTCTAGAAAGTTCCTCATCTTTCTGCCCTCAGCCCACAGTGCCCACCTTACCCAGTGACGGCACTGTCAGCACTGTGGTTTTCCATCTAGATTGGTTGTTCTTGTTCAGCTTTTTGCACAGGGGAATCATCCAGTAGGCTCTGCTTTATGGCTGCTGTCTTTTATCCACCCTAAATTTTGTTGTTGCGGTCCGCTCTTACTGCTGTTAGTTATTTGCTCTGTTTTCTTTTTGCTTTGCTTTGTTATGTGGTGGGGGTTGAACAGGATCTTGAACACTCTAGGTCAGCCTGAGCTAAACACCAACCTGCTTTGTTCTTTCTACTGCTGGATAGTCGTCTGTTCTGTTTGTTGATCCAGTCCTACTGATGAGCCTATGAATAAAGCTATGAACATTCTAATACAAGCCTTTTTTTTCCTTATAGACACATATGTTTTCATTTTCCTTGAGTAAATACCCAAGAATACAATAGCCGGGTCATGGTACTATTGTTTAGTTGTGTGAGTTACTGCCAGACCTTTCCCCATAACATATGTACTGTTCTGAACTCCCACTCCCACAAAGAACGTAAGAAAACCAAGTGTCTCCGTATCCCTGCCAGCCTTCTGGTGGATACACGGTGCTAGAGTGTTGTGGTTTTAATTTGCATCTCTCTGATGATTAATGATGTCTGTCAGATTTTCATGTGTTTATTGGCCTTCCCTGCATCTCCTTTGGTGAAATGTCCAAGTCACCCATTTTGATCATTCGCTGAGCTGTCCACATTCCGTATGTATCCTGGATACCAGTTCATTGTGAAATCTGAGTTTTATAAATATATGTTCCCCCTGTGGCTTGCCTGTTTTCCTCATGCCTTTTGGTGAGTAGGAGTTTTTAATTTTGGTGAGGTCTAATTTATTCTTTTTTTTTTCTTTCTGGAATTTATTCACTATGTTCTGAAAAGCCTTGTCTACCCCCTAGTCATAAAGTTACTCAAGTCAGTATGGTTTTAACGCTTACATGTAGGGCTATGCTCCATCTAAACTGATTCTATTTTATGAGAATGTTATACGATTTGAAACAAAAAACTCTCATAGCAATTTCTGTTTCCATTTGGCCATTTTTATATATAACTTGGCAGTTGTAGTTTGGTTTAAAATAAGCCTACGTGGTTAAGTGACTCACTGGACAGAGATGAGATGTTTGATTGCAATGGGGTCTGCCTGGGGTGAATGACAGTCCAGACAATACTTCACATGCATGTGCTTCAGGGAAATTATGGTTCAGTTATTGGCAACTAGGATTTTGAAAATAGCTAGTTAGCCATTCTAAAGACGTGTTGTGTTCATTACTTGCATTTGGAATATGAGGCTGAATCTAGTTATTTTATAGTTCTTGTCAAAAGCTCTTCAAAAGGTGTAACTGGCAAGGTTACTAGAGGTTGTTGTGTCCAACAGTAACTGTCTTAGCTGCCTTCTGTTGTCCTCACAAGACACCATGACCAAGGCAGCTTACTAAAGAAAGCATTTAGTTTGGGATCTCAATTCCGCAATTCCATCACCATCATGGCAGTGGGCAGGCAGACATGGTGTTAAAGCAGTCTCTAAGAACTTACATCCTGATCTACAAGCAGCAGGAGTCAGAAAGTGATAGCGAGCTTGAGCACACCCTAATTGGGGATGACATAGGCTTTTGAAACCTCAAAGACCACACCCTCCAACAAGGCTACACCTCCTAATCCTTGCCCACGGTTCTTCCAGCTAGGGAACAAGTATTCAAACATGGAGGTCATTCTCATTCACCCATACAACGAGCTTCCAATTGGCTTCTGGAAAGTTCTCTTGTGAGTACTAGAGGATTTTTCTGTGAGATGGTCAGTGTTCAGATAAGGGAGTCCTCTGATTACACACCCTCAAGATAAATGGTTCCTGTTATTTCTTAACATGGAACCATGGCATGGATTTTATTTTTTAATTAAAATTTTAAATATTTAATTTTATATGTATGAATGTTTGCCTGTATGTATGTATGTATGTATGTATGTATGTATGTATGTATTTATGTGTATCACATGCATGCTTGGTGCCCACAGAACCAAACCCCAGTCCTCTGCAAGAGCAGCAAGAACTCTTAATTGCTGAGCCATCTCTCCAGCCCCTGAAAAGGCATGGATTTTAAAACAGGAATTACTGGAGAATTTTGAAGCAAAAATGTATTAAGAGTAAGTGCTTTGTGGCCGTCAAGATGGCACAGTGGATAAAGGTGCTTGCCACCAACCTGGGATGAGTTCAATCCCTGAGACCCACATGGTAGAAGGAAAGAATTGACTCCCACAAGTTGCCCTGTGACCTCCAAAAAATGTACTGTGGCATTCACCAAAACATACACAATAAGTGAGTAAGTAAATACAATTTTTAAAAGATTTTGCTTCCTTTTCAAAATTAAAATTGACATCTCAAATTTTGCCCTATTTTAAAATTTTTATTTTTACTTTACATATGGGTGTTTTGCCTAGTGTTTGTATCTGTGAACCACATGAGTGCCGTTGCTCCCAGATCCGCTGGGACTAGAATTATAGATGGTTATCAGCCATGTAGATGCTGAGACTTGAACTCAGATCCTCTGAAAGAGTTGCCAATGCTCTTAACCACAGAGGCATCATCTCTCCAGCCCCTCACCCTATTTTTATATCATGTGTGAATTCATTTGTACCTATGATACAAACACTTGACTTAGCTAGAATAATGCACCCTGGGCCCATAAATCAGAAATACCCATGTTCTTCATAACAGGGTAAAACTTTAAAAAATGATTTCCAAGTGTAACCCTAGGAACACATAGAAAATGTAGTATGAGCTTGTGACAATAGGATATTCGTAGTTATTAGCTTAAGACAAAGTCGGTATTTTTCAAAGCTTTTTGTGTGTGATTCCATGTTGTAATCTATATGGAACTAGATAGCTTATCCAGTTACAAGCTATACTTTAAAAAAATATTCTCTACAGGCCTGACTTCTTTCTTTGACTACATCTGCTTGCTTTGATATTATTTGTAGCATTTCATCCCATATTTAAAAAAAGAATAGTTTCATGGCAGATAGTTAAGGTGAGAAGGTAGTAAGAATGAATCCCAACTCAAAGCCACTCAAATCCTGAACCCTTACTGAATTGTCTTCTGGAAACATGTTTTGGAGCACTGCTACCCTCCCTCTTGGGAGGAGCACACTGGTAAGTCTTGTGATAGCTCATCAGACCTGGTGACACTGGCCACCCCTGCTCCCTTACACTGGTGTCTAAACCCTTGTCACCCAGAAGCCCATCTCTGGCTGTATTTATTTTGATAAGGTGTGCTCCTTTCCATTAAAGACTGTGTTCCATCTAACAACAACAAACTATGACACGTGACCATCCTATAACCCCAGTGTGGGGCAGGCAGAGACAAACCTTTATTGACTTGAAATAAAAGGTGGCCATAAAGCCATGTAAACTGCAACATGCAGGCATAGGTCTGCACAGTGAGGAGTGCTTGTGCCTGCTGCTGAGCTCTGAACACAGTTCAGGCCCCACTGGCTGGAGAGCATCAGTGTCCCATCCCCCACACCCCATGCCTTTGTTCCAGTTCTCATCCACTCCAGGGAAGGCTGGGCATTGCTCTAGGCTCCTAGCCACCTGTTTACGTTGAGTTACTGTTTCTTTGCTTTGCTTTTGGCAACTGTCCCTCCAGAAGTAGGCGTAGAGAATTTGGAAAAAGAAATTGAATAAATTTGAAAAGTCGTCTTTGGCAGCTCTTCGTACTGTTTAATAAAGCAGGAAGCAGTTTCAAATTTTATGCTAGGAAAATAAGTCAAAAGAGACCTTTACATTCACAGTAATTAAATTGTGAAGGCTCAGTTTGTGGTGCTAATCTTAAAATCTTTTGGCACAAGATTTTTTCTTGAGTGTAAGCATAGATTAGATTCAGACTACAGGCTCCTGAAAACATACCCTCTGGTTGAATAGGCAGAGGTACATCTAGATTCCATTTACCCTGTGAGCAACACCAGGGCTTTGTGAGAATTTAGACTTGCATCCTTTGATAGCTTCTCCTTACTTTTTTTTTTAAAAGATTTTATTTATTATGTATACAACATTCTGCTTCCATGCATATCTGCACACCAGAAGAGGGCACCAGGTCTCATAACGGATGGTTGTGAGCCACCATGTGGTTGCTGGGAATTGAACTCAGGACCTCTGAAAGAGCAATCAGTGATCTATCAGTGATCTTAACCTCTGAGCCATCTCTCCAGCCCCCCCCCCCTTTTTTTTGAGACAGGGTCTCACTATGTAGACCAGACTGGCAGAGAAATCTGCCTGCTTCTGTTTCCAGAGTGCTGTGATTAAAGGTGTGGGCTACCACACTGGCTACCACACAATAGCTAAAATAGCAATTTTAAAAGCAGTTTGTTTCTGTGGCAATTCCTTGGCCCCAGCAGGGCCCCTTTCTCAGTTTAGCAGTATAGAAGAAATACTTTAAAGACTACCAGATGTCTGGGTTAATAAAAGCTGTGTCTGTTCTCTTTGAATGCTACTACGTATCTTACAGAGTCTGGAAGAAACTGAAGCATTTAAGGGTGTCTCATTACTTTAAATATCTAGCATTACTGAATATGCAAAAGATTGAGTTGACTACTTCTTGGTTAAGGAAGAAGAATGGCTCTTGTCAGCCTCATCATTTGGGGTTCTCTGCACAGCTCCTCGTATTTGACACCTCTCTTGCCCCAACTCCTTTTCTTACCTTTTTCATGCTAGTCCCCTGAGTGGCAAACTCGGCTGTGGTACGAAAGAAGAGCCATCGAGGACTGGGAAAGTGAGGAGCCAAGCTCACACAGGGTTCGGGGCTTCACTAGTGAATTTTCTCAGGAATTTCTGTGGCATGCATACCTTGTAGTAAATGTAGAATTTAATGTTGCATGTACTTAGGGTAGGGTCAAACAGAGCAAAATTGAAATTGGAATATAAAATAAACACAGAAACATGGTGTTTTATATGCATTTATGGAGCTCTCTGATGTTAGAGGCAATTAAACGAGCCCAGGTGCAGCTAGCTAAAGAAACTTGAATGGTAACTTGTTACATAATGTAATTTCAGAAATAGATGGTCTCTGTGCAAGGCAGATCAAAAGGTGACCAAATTAGAGGACAGGAGAGGAGACCATCAGGACAGGTTGCTGCACGGCTGGGTTTTTCAAATAGGGAGATGGTCCCCATCCAGAGGACAGAGACTGGAGGCGTGGCCCGAGGTAGCCTGTGGAGGAGCCTGGGCTTCAGGCATCTCTGTGAAGGACTTTGAGCAGAAAGATGGAGTGTTTTCACTGGAAGCAATGACAGCAAGCAGCTTGGATGGTGGACTGGCAGAATTTGGAGCAGAGAGGGACCCAACCCTGTAGTCACAAAAACTCTGGCCACTTCTAGGCTGTGAGTAGGACCAAGGAGGCCCAGATGGTTAAGACTAGAACTGGAGAGCTCTGAGACAGGGGCTGAAGAGAAGGCCCAGCGAAAACATCTTGTCTGTCAAGTGTAAGGACACTGAGTTCAATCCCTGTAATCCATTAAAATAAAAATATCAAGCATACACTTGCCAACCAGGCTAGCCTAATAGGTTCTGTCTGGGCCAGTGAGATACCCTTGCCAAAGGAGGTGGGTGGTATTTCTGAGGATGGCACCTGAGGTTGTTCTCTGTCCCTCGGCTTCAACACGTGCAGGAACATCTGGCTGATGAAGTCTCTGGTAGGAGGACATTGGAGTAGGAGTCTGAGAATTCAGGAGACATTCTTTTTTAATGTCCCTGAAGATAAGAATCTGCTATAAGAGAGGCTTTCTAGCTGACTATAGTAGTTGTGTCTGTGTATAACCTGCAGGGGCAAGAGGATCCAGAGTTGAATGCCAGCCTCAGCTACATAGCAAGTTCAAGGCCAGCCTGAACTATATGATTCCCTCTCTCAAGAAATCAAACCAACCAAACAAGCAAGCAAACAAACAAACAAAAATTGACTCTTAAATTTCCTTTAAAACATAATAATGCTAACTTGCTGCTTCTGTTATTTAAATCTTATTTACTGATTTGAAGAGGGAGCATGCCCTGCTGCACATGTAGAGGTCAAAAGACAATCCATGGGGAGTTTCCTTCCACTGTATGTGCCCCGGGATAGAACCCAGGTCCTTAGCCCTGGCTGCAATCTCCCTCATCTGCTGAGCTGTCCCTCTCTACCTGCTCTCTTTGCTTAAAAAGGAAAGTACTTGATTGTGAAATTGCAAAGCTAGTTGAGCTTGATTGGTTTTTTTGTTTGTTTGTTTGTTTTTTATTTTTACAGCACTGGGATAAAACCCAGTTGGGCGGGTGGGCCAGCAGGCAGGCATTCTCTCCCTGAGCCACACCCCAGCCCAGAAGGCTGCCTTAGATACTGTTTGTTATCCAAGCAAGCTCAGTCATTCTCTCCTTCTTTCACAGGCATATCTTTTTCTTGCACATTAAAGAATCCCTCTTGGCAGGCCACCTCCAGTGTTCCCCTGAGCAGGCAGTGGAGCTTAGTGCCCTCCTGGCCCAGACCAAATTCGGAGACTACAACCAGAATACTGCCAAGTACAACTACGAGGACCTGTGTGAAAAGGAGCTCTCCAGTGCTACTTTGAACAGGTAAGGCCACCGCCCCAGGCAAGCCATGCACTCTGGCTGCCTAGAGTGTTCACTGCCACCGACTTGATAAGAATCAGGAAACTGTCATTTGTGAGATAGAGCACGGGCAACCGCCAGGTTTAACCAGCCATTTTCAGAAGATCCATGTGCCTTTTATTTGGGAACTTACCAACACAAAATAGCCCACACAGATAAATGCCCTTATATGAAGTTCCATAAATAACAAGGATCTCGAAAGTGCCTGACCTTTTAAATGTGCAAATCTCCTACAGTAAAAGTTTAGCATGTTTATTGGTGTTTGCTTCATCCCAGCAAGAAATTACAGCAAGAAGCCTAGCTTAGCCACTCAGTTACCTAGTCCTGTGTAACAGGCTAACCCCAAACTCAGCTTAAAACAACAGACATTTTCTGAGAATGCATGGACAGGGAACCACTATGGCTTGAGGGCATACCAAGCCCCAGAGGTCAGTCTCATCTAAAAGCCCAGCTGAGGGAGGCCTCTGGGTCCAGGTGAATCTTGGAGCTTCTTGGCCAGTCTCCTTCCCTTGCCACTTGACCACAGGGCCCTTTCATGGTATGGTAGCTGGCTCACCCCATGTGAATGATTCAAGAGCAAGAGAGAAGAGTCCCGCCTTCATGACTCTCTCAGAAGTTAGTCATGCCAGGTCTTTCATGGTTTTCTGTTCATTAGCAGCCAGCCGTTAATCCAGACCATACTGAAGGGAAGGCTACATGGGGAGGCCAGATCACCAGGGAGCACAGGAGAAACAGCCTTGCCACAACATAGAATAGAGATCTGTGTTTTCTTCGGTTGCAAAGAATCTAATCAGTCAGTCCCCTGTGCTGCTAGCTTATCAGGAAGTTTGTAAAGTCTGTGTAGATAAATGTATGAGGGGATCTAGCCTACACATTTGTCTTGTGTGTATGCTGAGAGATTTTTCTATAATTCTGTCAGCTTACCAGTGGGTTCTCAGTATTTGTTGAGATCTTTTCAAGAAAATACAGTGTGTGTGTGTGTGTGTGTGTGTGTGTGTGTGTGTGTGTGTGTGTAAGAAAGCTGATGACAGTGAGTTCTTTCCTGCCATCTGTGTGTTCCAGGGATCCAATACAAGTACCTTTACCCATTGAATCATCTCACTGGCCCCATAGGTGAGCTCTCGAACAGTGTCTTAGAAATATTTTATAGTAAGTGAAATAGTAATACGCCATTTGGTGTTTTTGTGATGCATAAATGACCACATCCCTATATTTCACTAGTGAAAATTATAAGCTTTGAGGAATGCATGAGCTGATCTGCCTAAATTTGCACCTTTGAATGTTCTACAGCATTGTTGCAAAGCATAAGGAGCTGGAGGGCATCAGCCAGGCTTCGGCAGAATACCAAGTTCTGCAGATTGTGTCAGCAATGGAGAACTATGGCATAGAGTGGCATGCTGTGAGGGACAGCGAAGGGCAGAAACTGCTCATTGGGGTTGGACCCGAAGGCATCTCAATCTGTAAAGATGACTTCAGTCCTATTAACAGGTAACCCAAGTCTTTCATAACACACACACACACACACACACACACAATCATAAGCATGTATATCATCGGTTGCTTTGTTCTGAAAATAGAAAATGGACAGAAATTCACCAGACACCTCTATCAATAAAGTGATTCATTTTTTAATTTATTCATTAATTGCATTCAAGCCTTGACTAATTATTCCTTAAATGCTAACTTAACGTATACTAATGTGGCAGAATTATTATTTTTCATGCCATAAATACCTGTGTCTGCTTCTGCATACCCACACACACATCAAGGGCACTCCAACACGGTCACCATGCCACACTGCTTGTCCTCTGTCAGCGTAACTAGTTAGAATCATCATAGAACAGCATAGGCTAAGTGTCTGGTTCACTACTGATCATGGCCAGCCTACAAAGGCATATCAACATCATGCTGAACTGTCCCTTCTGAGCTGGCTCACTTTTCTCCTCCTGCCTTTCAGGATAGCTTATCCTGTGGTGCAGATGGCCACCCAGTCAGGAAAGAATGTCTACTTGACCGTGACGAAGGAGTCTGGGAACAGCATCGTGCTCCTGTTTAAAATGATCAGCACCAGGGCAGCCAGTGGGCTCTACCGGGCCATCACCGAAACGCATGCATTCTACAGGCATGTACCACCATGTGTCTCCTGAGCTTCGGTCACAGCTTAGTGTGTTTAGGTGTCTGGCAGGTTGCTGGGATTTCTCCTATCCCTGAGTCCATGAGCTTTTACAGACTATGAGGGAATAGCTACTCTGAGCCTTCCTTTTGCAGTGCTAGTGGCGCCCTTATGGGCACAGAATGGTGTATACCTGTGCCTCATTTACACTCTCCTGTTTATCGCTCATTTCCTTCCACACCCACCTCCCAGCATAACCCCAGTGGTTGGCCCTGTTCTGCTATGACTATGTCTTTTCCCAGAACAGTGGCACAGGTCTTTCTCTGCTGAGAAAGTCCCTGTCCTCAGCCCTCGCACATTACATACTCCGGATACTTTTTAAGTTTCATTTTACTTGGTGTTTTTGGAGACAAAAATCTCACTGCATGACCAAAGGTAATTTGAAATTCATTATACACCTCAGGGTGGCCTCAAACTCAACTGCAGTCCTGTAGTCTCAGCTTCCTGACTGCTAGGACTTCTGGCATGCACCACTACACCTGGCCATGACGAAGATTTTTAAACAACATTCTAGAGGGCACTTTCAGGCTGAGTTGTGAACAGGTTCACACTTAGAAAAAAATTAAAGAGAAAAATGTAGTTTGCAGGAAGCCTTTAAATTTTGTTATGTTAAAGGCCGGGCGTTGGTGGCGCACTCCTTTAATCCCAGCACTCGGGAGGCAGAGGCAGGCGGATCTCTGTGAGTTCGAGACCAGCCTGGTCTCCAGAGCAAGTGCCAGGATAGGCTCCAAAGCTAGAAGATAGAGCACTAAATGTCTATTGGCATACTGTTTTTATTAATAACGGTATCTGACAGTCTGAGTTAGGCTTTTCAATACTAAATCAGATGTTCACTCTCATCTTCAGGTGTGACACGGTCACCAGTGCCGTCATGATGCAGTACAGTCGTGACTTGAAGGGCCACTTGGCATCTCTGTTTCTCAATGAAAACATTAACCTTGGTAAGAAGTATGTCTTTGATATTAAAAGAACATCCAAGGAGGTATATGACCATGCCAGGAGGGCTCTGTACAACGCCGGTGTTGTGGACCTTGTCTCACGAAATGACCAGAGCCCTCCCAGCTCGCCCCTGAAGTCCTCTGACGGCAGCATGAGCTGCGGCAGCTGTGAGGGCCTCAGCTGCCAGCAGACCAGAGTGCTGCAGGAGAAGCTTCGCAAGCTGAAGGAAGCCATGCTGTGCATGGTGTGCTGTGAGGAGGAGATCAACTCTACCTTCTGCCCCTGTGGCCACACCGTGTGCTGTGAGAGCTGTGCTGCCCAGCTTCAGGTAAGGGGTCACAGCCCTCCCGTCTGTTAAGAAGGCTCCAACAGGTGCACGATACACAGAGTGGAAAGCAGCCTTCTGCACCTGGGAAGGGTCTTTATGTGCAGCGACTTCACCCATTGTGCCCTTTAGAAACCTGTGGGTCAGCACGCTCTTGTCACCACTTGGTTTCAGAAATGAGGTCCAGACTGACAAAATGAATGCATCTTGAAGCTAAACCATGAACTAGAATCCAGGCCTGCCTCTTCCGTTGTAGGTGGCCTCTTGTTCTGATACCACATAGTAGAAATGTATTATTTGCCCAAAATTCTCGTTAAAGAATACATAGATCACTGTTACCAATGACTTATTTGCTCTATTTGTGATTAACTTATCTTTTTTCCGTACTTAACATTTATTCGTGTGTGTGTGTGTGTGTGTGTGTGTGTGTGTGTGTGTGTGTGTGTGTGTGTGTGTCAGTCAGAGAACAACTTTCAGGAGTCAATTCTTTCCTTCTACCATGTGGTCCTGGAAACCAAACTTGGTTTGTTAGGCTTGGTTGCAAGCGTTCTTACCCACTGAGCCATCTCACCAGCTCATTGACTTCCCTTTATTACTGTTCACAGTTTTAGGGATCTCTTCTATTGGCTGTCATCTGCTAGCAAGTCAAACTATCTTGCACACCCCAAAAAAACAAAAGCACCTCATATATAGCATGTCTCCTTTCTTACAGCTTACATTTCCTCTTACAGTAAATTTTGCACTTGCTTTCACTTCTCAAAAGTTTCTGCTAAATGTGGGTATACGTAAACCTAGCCCTGCAGGTCACCTACTCCTTACAAGCTACGGTTACAGAGCTACTGTTAGGATTGGACAGTGAACTCAGGAGCTGTGCTACTGCAAGGAGGGCTTTCTCCTCTGAGCCTTGAACTTATCTATTCATGCCCACATAGCCTGACCCTGTACCTGTCCTCCCTTATGGCCGATGAAGGGTGTGCGCTGGCCAAGAAGCCACCAGAGACCTGTTGCCCCTGGCCACAGGGCATCTGCCCACTGATGTTGGCCCCAGGATAGCTGAGCCAAGGCCTATCCATGGCACATCTCTAGCATGGTGGCCAAAGGTGCAGTGACCTCCTATTTATATGGCTCCAGCAGGAAGGAAAGCTGAAGTTAACAGAAGGATTGGGGAGCTGGCTGAGTCATTAAACACTCTGCATTGCCAGGCACAGGGACCTGAATTCAGCCCCTAGAACCAGTGTAATTAAGAAAGTGTGGGGGAGGGGGTGCTAGGGAGATGGAGACAGGAGGACCCCTGGGGGTCACCTGTCTGCCAGCCTAGCTTAATCAGTGTTCTCCAGGCCAGTGAGAGCCTGTTTTCAAAAAGAAGCAGAAAGCATTCAAGAAATGATACATGAGGCTGACCACCGGTCTCTGAACAACACACTCATACACAGTTGGCCAGAGAATGTAATTTTCTTCAGTGATTGTCTTTTCCAAACACTCATTTTTAATCCTTGTAAAGTGTAAACATTCAAGCCTATTACAGAGCAATTGAGAGCTTAGAAATCACAATGGCAGCATCTAGAAAACCAAGTGTGATGGGTACCAACGCTGACCTCCCAGACCCAGGTCTGGCAAACATTCTAACCAATGTTGGCTTTTTTTCCAGTCTTGTCCGGTCTGCAGATCACGTGTGGAACATGTCCAGCACGTCTACCTGCCAACCCACACCAGTCTTCTCAATCTAACAGTCATCTAATGTGCCCTGCCATTAATGGACATGCCATGTCCCCATGAGTCAATCTGACTGTCATCTAATGCGTCCTGCGCTTACTGGACACGCCAGGTCCCCATGAGCTGCAGTATTGTATGTAAACCATAAGAATAAGAACCTTGTGAGGAAATATCTCACTCTCAACACCCATCTGCCATGAGACATTTTTAGACAGGAAGAAGAAAAGAAAAGCAAGACTGCAACCACTCCTCTTCTGTGAATAGAAGCCAACAGCCCCAGTGGCAACAGGAAGAGCTCTGGGGCATAGCCACATTCCTTCTTGAACTTTGGGTTGTTGTTTTTTTTTTTTTTTTTTTTTTTTTTAAACGATCAAGTAAAGGAGTAGATAAAATTGTCTTTGTCAGTTAAGTGGCACCATAGCCCAACAGTGGGTACCTTTTAGGAAATGATGTCATATGTCTCCTTAACTTCTCCCAAGGCAGCATATTTTATAGGAGTTTTAAAAGTTCCCTTGGTTCTTTTTGTATGGTCATGGAGCGCTGAACATTTTTTAATAGGAAATTTTTTTTTCTTAAAGAAATAGTCCTCATTGTAATGTCATTTTTGTCTTTATAACTCATGCAAGAATGACTAGAAAGCTAGCAGATTGAGAAACAATCCTGTGACTTCTCAAGGGTTGACATGTTGTCTGATTGAAACCAGTGTGATGAGAGGAAACAGGTAACAACATGGGTGACTTCTTAGCCCTTCTTTTCCCCCACACCCCACACCCCATGCCTTTCCGTGATAAAATGCTACCAGCTTGGTTAAACGACTTCCATGACATCGTCAAGCACTCCCTGGGCTTTTGAGCTGGTAGAATATTTGGAGATTGGAAAGGAAAAGTTCACAGACGGACAGACAGACCAAGCGTGCCAGAGATGCTCCTGGTGTGCTCAGGCGGTTCTTCACTTTCCCCTAAGCACTCACTCCAGCTGCACCCATGGGTGTCGCCTTGCTTGAAGATCAAACCTTCTCCAGCCTTATCACAGGTCTCTAGATAGTGTGTCCTTTTCATGTGTGTTTCATTTCGCTTTGTTCCTGTTTTCTTGTCGATAATGCTTCCATGTTCATTGTGTTGCCCCCGCCCTGCATCTTTCAGAGGTGGGGTTAGTTTGTTCTGTTTCCATATTTTTAATCACATTTCCACCCCCCACGTGGGCATTTTGGAAGCTAGTGAGCTAGGGGGTTTTCTAGGCTGTCAGGAAAACCTAGCTGACCTCATTGGGTGCAATACTAGCTAAGTAAAAGCTAGAAACCTACACTGTCACTTTACTGAGATTTCTGAGTCTACGTTTCATATTGCCTTAATGTAGCAGTAACGTCTTTATGCATTTGTTTCTTTGCACAGACATTTTGTCAGATATTAAAACTCTACTTTTTTATGGCACATATTAGCATATAAGCCTTTATTCCAAGAGGTATTTATTTTTTCACTTGTAAAAAAAATAATGTTTCCACATTTAAAAAAACAAAAAACAAAACTCTGTTATATCCTAGAGGACTTCTGTCTTTTATATTCAGGATAATAAAGACTTTAAAGCATTTGTGTTCTCATGGTCATTGTCATTTAAAGCACTTTCCAGTTGAGTGGGCACTCACCTCAAGGTTGGAAAATGTGGAAATGTTTAAGGAGTTTGTATTCACTGAGAGGATTTGCCCAGCTCGTCTCTCTCCTGTGCTTTTGAATCTACAAGATTAGAAGGTGGGTGAGCGTGATGCTGTGACATGCACAGCAGAGGAAATGGGTGAGGAGGAGGGTAGCATGATGGTTCCCCAAGTAAAAGTGCTGGCTGCACAAGCCTGGCAACCTGAGTTCAATCCCTGGAACCCACATAAAGGTGGAAGGAAACAACAACCTGGCAAAGTTGTCCTACGATGGCCACACATGTGGCTCACAGTGCTCAGTCATAGCAGAAACAGTATACTGTGGTATCCAGGACTGCTATCATACAGTACCACTGCAGGCTACTGCTGGGCCTTAGCCATCTTTTGCATTGCTGAGTGGTCATCTCTTCTGAAGATGCTTTGTGTGGTAGAATAATATTAGAAAGTGTCTATAATTGATACCTTTAAAATTGGGAGACAGATCTGAGTGTGCCTCCCATTTTTTCTAGGAATTCAGTTCACTCAACTCAACATATTTACTAGACACCAACTAAGTTGTTATTGAGACCTGAAACTTTAAAAGAAAATAGTCAAAGACACAATTTAAGTCACATGAAAATCCATGCATAATATTCTCAAAGTATAGAGGGTGAAGCACTGTGGAGCATAGGGAAGTATTGAGGGTGAAGCACTGTGGAGCATAGGAGATATGATCCGCCTTTGCTCAGAGCCCAGGGTAAGTGAGCTTCAGAAGGACCTGTGTGAAAGCCCTTCACTCTGTAGTTGGGAAAAGGCGCTAGCACCCATGTCAAAGCTGCAGTGCAGCTGGCGGGGCTAGCTCATGCTCACATGTCAATGCAGTGCTGAAAACTTAGGCTCTCGGGGAAAGTGTGGCATCGAGAAGCAGTAAAAGGAACCTTGAATTCCAGATTTGACTAGTGACTATTCTACTGCCTTCAGAACCAGGAACCAGTTAAGTCAGGAAAGCTTGTAGAACAGCTAATGCACGAGACAGAGCAAGAGGAGAGCAGAGAGAGAAGTCCACTCTGATTATCTATTGACATGAAAATAAGGAAAGTGGGAACTGTGAGATGCCTCAGTGGACAAAGGCTGACACAGTGGAAGAAGAGGCGTGGAGAAATGGCTCAGCGGCTAAGAGCACTGGCTGCTCTTGCAGAGGAACTTTTGTCTCCTTTTACTTTGGCTAAAGGGTCAGAGATAAATCAATGTCCTTAATTGTTCCTTGGAAGTCACCTGGATTTCCCAACACAGCAGAAGACAATGGGACAGAGCAGTCACTCTCAAGAATAAGGTCTCTCAAGCATAAGGATCCATGAAGGCTAGGCTGTACCTGAGAGTGACTGTCTTGTAGGGACCAGTTTGATGCCTTCAAGCAATGACAGTCATAGGAAATTCTCCAAAACTCCTCCCTAAAAGACGACTGAGACAGTGACCAAACGATGCATTGATCGGTGTTTGATTATGCATACCCAGGCCCTCCTACTTCAATTCTTTCTCTGTTTAAATCCAAAACTCATTCATTCGAGTACCCCAAAGGTGCCCTGGGGTATCCAGGCCCCTTTATTCCTCTTCCCAATGTGATCACATTAAATAAATCTGTGTTTCACCATTATTTTTCTCTTTAATTGACAAGCTGGAACATAGAACCATGCCTGTAAAGCCCCACGTACAGGCCCAGAAGTATAGTAGGAAATTACCAATACGGAGTCAGGTAGAAATATAAGGGTATTTAATAGGGAAAAGCCTTACTTACAGAGCGAACCAGCCAGCCGGTGGGAGTCTGTACAGCAAGCAGAAAAGCGAAACCGAAACCGAAAACGCAGTCCCCCTACTCACTCTGACCACGCCCTCAAAAGCCCTCAGGTACTCCTGTAGCCAGCCCCTAAGAAGGCGTGGCTACAGCTTCCCCTACACAGAAGTGTTTGGGTTCTGTGGTTTATAGATGGGAGTGGGTGTGTCAGCAGAGAGAGAGGAATGAACAGGGACCCCAGGACCTTTGAAACCAGAGAGGCTGATGACATTGGAGGCTGATCTGCCAATGATGCAGGTTACAACACTTGAGCAAAAGCCTTTTCATCCTTTTCCTGAGGGTTACAACAGAAAGTAGGAAGCAAACAGTGTTTCCCCTCCTCTTAGCCCACCTGTGAAGGGAGAGACCCTGGATACCTTTACCTCTGACCACGCCCATTTGGTATGTAGAGGGGTAGGATAAAGAGCAAGGAGGAAGAGGTGCTCCTCTGTTTTCATGTTTCAAGCCAGGTCTCCGTGTGCATCTGAGACTGGGTTGCTCGGAATGCTAATCTGGTTATCGGCTACATGTGTGAGTTGTCTTCATCGTTGTCATTTATAATATATCGTCAATAACTATATCTTGTGTATGGTTGTGTTCCTTATCACACCTGTCTTATGCTTATCCTGTCACAGGACTAGGGACTCGAATCCAAGGCTGGTTCATTCTGGGAGTTGTCTCCTTAACAGCCACTGAAAATGAGAAAATCACAGGCCTCGTGGGAGAACACAAGTGGATAAAACCTAGACAAGTTCCCCCGGATAGCTTGGGAAAGAAATACTGTGTAGAATACAAGTTGGAGATTTCTGAACCTGGGCACTAATTACTGCAGAAATGTCTAAGGGAGGGTACCCGGGAGGGAGGGGACTGCAAAGGATGCTCGTGGCTTTAGAGCATAGAAGAAACCAGGAATGCTGATGGTGTTTGTTTCCAGTACATTGCATTAGCATGTATTAATTGCTAATTAATAACGAGTCTCGCTGTGACATTTTTCATACATTCATGGAATGTAATTTGATCCCATTCACTTCCCATCCTACCACCCTCTTCCTGTCTTCCCTCCCCCTGAAGCTCTTTCTCCTGCCCACACAGTCCTTTCCACCTTCAGATTTTTACTGCAACCTGGATTCCACCTGTGGTATTTTTTGCCTAACCTGATAATTTCACAGTTTGTTGTGGTGGTGGTGGTGGTGGCAGTTTGGTTTAGTTTAGTATAGTTTTGGGACGGGGTCTCAAATAACTCAGGCTGGCCTTAAACTCCTAATCCTCCTGCCTCTACCTTCCAATACTGGTATTACAGGCATTCACTATCACACCCATGTTTTTAATACCATTTGTTGTGTAGAAAAGCTCCTGAGTGGGGTTTAAGCACAAGGAGGACTGAAGAAAAAGAAAATGTATGCATTTCTGTATTTCTTGTTGGGGTATATTCCATGCCTTCTCACAGAAATCCTAAAACATTTGCAAACTCCTATTCATATTTTTTGAATAAATTTTTTTCTAAAAACTGAAAATTATTAAAGAGTTATCCCTTTGCCTCTTCAATGCAAATCACAGATTGAACACATCTGCTAGTTAGTTGAATCAGCGTGTGCTTCAAGCAAAGCCAAACATCTGTTCTTACAGCTCCCAGCAGTGGTAAGAGGGGAAGAAATGCTTGAAAGGAGTGAGCCTGCCTACCGAGGAGCTATTTTTCAATTAAGAAGAAAGTCTGTATGTGTGTTTATGAAACAAAACACTAATCAATAATACTAAGACCTAAAGCAATATACATGTGCATGCATTCATTCCCAAATGAATGCAAGCAAGTGGCAGAAGGCGTTTGCAAGAAGTTAAAGTCTTTGTCCTGAAGGAAGCACAGAATTTGAGTGACAGGAAAGGCACACAAAGCAAGGGAACAGGAAAGAGTCCAGAGGTCAAGAGCAAGAACAAAAAACCTAACAAAGGCAGAAAGCAGGCCGAGTCCGCTCTTGAAGAGCCTCCATGGCTGGAATAAAGACTTCAAGTTTGATTTGATAAGTGCACAGAAGTTAAAACAAGATGTTGGGTTTGTTTATTTACCATTGTGCATTTGAGTCACTCAGACTCGGATTCACTAATTTGTTAGCTCAGCAAATACTCATTAAGTACCTAGGATCAGGCTGTCTATTAGAACTGGCTTAGTGGTTCCAACCAGGAACACTTCTCTCTCTCCCCCTCTCTCTCTTTCTCTCTTTCTCTCTCTCTCTCTTTCTCTCTCTCTTCTTTCTTCCTTTCTCTGTGTGTGTAGTATGCCCCACTCCCAAGATATTAGCAATGTCTGGGGATAGTTTTCTAAATTTTCACACTGGAGGTTTATACTGTTTTTTTTTTGTGAACCAGCAAATTGACTCAGCTGGTAAAAAGTTCTTGTTGTCAAGCCTGATAATCTATTCCAACCCTGGGACTCACATCCTAGAAGGGAAGACTTTGTCCCACACACAGAATAAAGAAAATGTAAAGATTTTTAAAAAAGAATTTTCTGACCTAAAAAAGTCAGTATTCCCACTGTTGAAAAACGTTGGGATAGACAGTAGTGAGATTGCAAATCAATCCTTCCAGCCGCTCTAGTTCCACAACTAAAGCAGACCGTGGGTGCTATTATAGGACAGAAGACTGGCTTTGTTTAGGGTAAGGCAGTTTTCTAGAAGTCACACTGGAAGGAGTTCTTAAAAGATGAATCAACTTCCCTAGTAGGAAAGGTGGGTGGAAGGACCATGTCCAAAACCTGGCAGATTTGGGAGCCAGCAGACGGCTTGACCTAACTGGAATGAAATATTGGCTACATGGCTGGAGGCACGGATGTGATTCTGTCTAGTGCACTCTTACGAAGAGATCTGACTTTTTATCCTAGACTCCAGCAAGTGTGTGTCCTCCGAGGCTTTAGTAAAGGCAATAGCAAAATGATCCCTAACTAAACGCTTGCCCTAGGGATGGAAGCTGTCAGGCAATCATCTGGCATTTAAAAGTTCATCTCCATATTCCTTCATATGAAGAAAACGGCAGGAAAAAAAATTGCTGCACGGCTTATTAGTAACAACTTACCCATCTTTTCCCTAAATGGTTAGAACACGCTGCTTTCCCTGCTCTTTCCGTCAGCATTCCGTTA